AGGAATTGCTTTCCTTGTTTTTAGCTGTTTAGTTGCTGGAAATCAGCAATCACGTATTTTGGATTTAAATGTTGTGACCTTTGGTTAAGAATAATATCATATTTCACATTCTGAAATTATAACACTTACGCTATAACACTGTGGTATAACATTCTGAAAATACATTCGTGCAACTTTCAATTTTTATGTTTGATGGTCACTATTATCATTAGGTAACGCTGATGGAAAATTTTTTACGTTCTAACGAGTATTGAAGTTTGGTAGAGACGGGAATCTTGGATGCACCTGCGGGAGAGATTTTGACTAAGGCACAACAATAGAAAAATTGAAGATCAGAAACTCAAAGATTTTGACAAATCCATCATAGAGTGCTTCCACGACCATAAGCTTGGACACTTTTAGTGGGAGTGTCAGAATAAGGAAAGTCGGAAGAAATGTTACTCATGGGTAGCATTGGAAATGTGCAAACTTTGTAAGACGATTGGTTCTTGGATTTAGGTTGCAGCAATCACATGTGCAATAAACGGAAATATTTACAGATATAAATGAACAGTTTGTCGATACTGTCAAATTAGGAAACAATGTGGTCTTGGTGGTGAAAGGCAAAGGAAATACTAGACTGCAGATCAACAATCAAATATAGGTCATAACTGAGGTTTCTTATGTGCCAATTTAAAAAACCAGTATGCTAAGTGTAGAACAACTTCAAGAAAAAGGGCTAGCTGTTATTTTTCAGCACAACAGATGTAAGGTCTACCATTCTAAAAAGGGTGTTATTATGAACTCTACGATGTCTTCTAATCATATGTTCAAAATAACAGCAGTACCTCTCACGGTGACAACCTGCTTCAACATTGTGAGTGAAGATATTGGTCAGTTATGGCCATTTGAGTTTTAGTGGACTTAATACACTGCAGAAGAATGACATGGTTGTGGACTTACCAAAATTGTCTCAACCATCATGGGTGTGCAAAGAATGTTTAGTTGGAAAGCAACACAGAGATTCGTTTCCTAAGAAGAGTACATGGAGAGCTGAATTGTGGTTGCAGCTAGTCCATTCCGACTTGTGTGGTCCGATTCAACCAAACTTAAACAGCAACAAAAGGTATTTTCGTCTCTTTCATTGATGATTGTACTAGAAAAACCTGGATCTATATTTTGCATGAAAAAACAGAAGTCTTCAAGTTCTTTAAATAATTAAGGCCATAGCAGAACGAGAAATAGGTCTGAAAATCAAGGCTCTTAGAACAGATCGTGGGGGAGAGTTCAATTCATTAGAATTTGCAAACTTCTGTGCAGAATATGGGATCAATAAACAACTCACTACTCCCTACACTCCACCGGAAAATGGTGTAGCTGAACAGACACATCGCGCCATTATGAATATGGTTCGAAGCATGTTGATTGCACAAGGTATTCCAAAATGTTTTTGGCCAGAAGAAGCAAATTGGGTGGTCCATCTTCTCAATCGAAGTCTTACATTAACAGTACAATACAAAACACCAGAGGAAGCTTAGAGTGGGAAAAAGCCATTTGTGGGATACTTCAAAGTTTTTGGATGTGTAGCTCACGTGCATGTAGGGAATCACTCTCGCACTAAATTAGACAAACGTAGCATTCATTACTTATGTTATGTAGGGCATAAATGAGGAGTCGAAGACATACCGACTTTATAATCCCATCACTAAAGGAATTATTGTTAGTCGAGATGTTATCTTTGAAGAGGATAAGAGCTGGAACTGGAGTGAAGAATTTACACAATCCATTCAATCTATTTTAGATTGGAATGACAATGACAAGGATGCTGAAGAAGATGTTGAACCTGAACAGAGGTTAGAGAACAAGAAGAAATTATTGCAGAAGAAATTTTCGCTGATGTTGCACCTTAATGACCAAGAAGGAGTCACAAGCAACCTCTGTGGATGCAAGATTATGTTGTAGGTAAAGGTGATGCTGCTGATAGGCTCGAGTCACACTTCACTGTCAATGGTGAGGATGATCCTATTTATTTTGAAGATGCAGAAAAAGATCCCATTTGGAGAAAAGTCATGGCAACAGAAATTGAAGCCATAGAGAGCAATGGAACGTGGTACCTCACTGATATTTCAGAAGGTGCACAAAGGATTGGAGTTAAATGAATTTTCAAAACTAAACATAATGAAAAAGGCAATATCAATAAGCACAAGGCACGACTGGTGGTTCGTGGCCACTCTTAAGAATATGGAGTGCATTATACTGAAGTTTTTGCAGCAATAGCGCACATGAAAACAATTCAGTTAGTCATTGCAGTTGTTGCTCATCATGGCTGGTCCATCCATCAATTGGATGTTAAATCAACATTTTTGAATGGAGAGTTGACTGAAGATGGTTTTGTTGAACGAACAACCGAAAGGATTTGAGAAGCCATGAGAAGAAAGCAAGGTATACAGATTGAATCGGGCTTTATATGGTTTAAAGCAAGCTCCTCATGCTTGGTACAGTCATCTTGAAAGTTATATTCTCAGTCAAGGTTTTGCTAAATCTGAGCATAAACCAACATTATTTACCAAGATGATGGGATTTTTGTGTGCCAAAAGAAGTACATAACTGATATTCTGGGCAGATTTAGAATGAGCATTGCAAATCTGGTGCATAACCCGATGGTTCAAGAAGAAAGTTAGACAAAGTTGAATATGAGAAAGCAATAGACAAAACGCTCTACAAACAAATGGTGGGTTGTTTAATGTATGAAACTACTACAAGACAAGAGATCATGTATAGTGTGAGCCAAGTAAGCAGGTTTAGGGAAAATCCAAAAGAGCTTCATATGTTAGCAGTTAAGGAATTTTGTGCTACCTCAAAGGCGCTTGTAACTTTGGCTGCCATATGTTTATGATGGGCATGGCATCCATTTCAAGGAGTTCAAAGAAGCAACCAGTGGTGAGAGCCTTTCATTCACTCTTGTCAAGCTGTATGGCTTACTTAGATGACTACTAAATGTAATAGGAAGGGTGCAAACATAACCTACTGTTATTTACTGTGACAACAGTTATACTATAAATTCCTTGTCGAAGAATCCCAGTTATGCATGGAATGAGTAAATTAATTGACGTACGCTTCCACTTTCTAAGAGATCTTGTTAAGAGTGGAACAATTGAATTGCAGCATTATCGCTCAGAGGAACAAATTGTTGATTTCATGACCAAGTCACTCAAATTAAAAGACTTTATCCGAATGAGAAGCAAGTTAGGAGTTGTTGTTAATGATGTAAACTGGATATCATGGTTCGTTTTAAGGGAGGGAATGTTAGTTAGATAAACTTAAAATAAAGTTTATAATGTTTTACTTGAAACTGGAGAATTTCTAGCCGTTGCTAGAAATTAGGAGATAAAATTTGGTAGTTTTGAATAAGTGTAATAGGAATTGCTTTCCTTGTGTTTTAATTGCTTAGTTGTTGGAAATCAACAACTTAATTTCTGAATTTTAAATTTAAATGTTGTGACCTTTCGTCAAGAATAATATCACATTTCACATTCTAAAATTACAACACTTATAACACTTTGAATGGACAACTATAGTCGGTATATCAAAATCCCAATTCTTTAAAGCAATTGCGAACTAACATACTTTGAATGTTGTAAGGTAACTATTTATGAACAGAACGAGGACTAAATGTTATAATAATTGCATTTGTTGGTGTTAAAAAGCAAGTATTGCAAAATACAAAAAACTTATTTACATAAGTTTTATTTTAAGATAAATTGAATATTTTATAACTTCTTTTTTTTTAAATAAGGGATCCTAATTTTTTAGTATGTCCTATTAAAAATATTTATGAGCCATGATTGAATTTCAACTGTAAACTAATATAAAAATGTATTAAATATCACATATTGATTAGTGATATAACTAGAATATATTGTATATTCACTTGGATTTTTAGATATAAATCAAGTCCAAACTTAAAAGTAAATTACGTGACGTATGCAAAGAGAGGGTGATTCCAGAAATTATAGGTCTCTTCCGACTACGATAGGTGTGCAATAGAATAAGCTAGATACGTTGATAAGGTTATGAGGTTATACACCACATTGCAAATCACTTTATTTTCTTAATATTCTACGACGCAGTCCTGGTAGAATGTGGAGGAGAAGGAATTAAGAATTGTTTTTGAAGTGTTGGACCAAACTCTATTGGTATCATATCATGCCATAAAATTAGGCATTAATCTAATCGATAGACATTTTCTATGGTATACACATTGGCTGATAAGGAATTTCACGCAGCTCTGGTAGATTTTGCTTGAAGATATCGTGCATTAGAAAGTGTGAGAATCACCAACTGTTAGTTCTTTATGCATCACTACTTTAAAATGATTTCTTTATTGATGCATCCACCACTGACCCAGCACTGGGCACAAACTATGCAATACGATAAAAGGATTTGTCTTGCTCTTTAAGCTTCTATTTGTAGATTCTCCTATTATGTTTCACATCAATAGGTTTGAATTTTATGTCTGTCGATATAACTTTAATTGATTCACCAGTTACACTGATATACGTTTGAATTTAATTACTGTCGATATAACTCTTATTACACTATCATCTAATAAAAAATATCAATAAATTTACCCTGTTAATAAAGAACATAACACAGATATAATTTTAAAAATAGTTATTATAAAAGTTTACTCCGCCACACTTTAAAAATTACATGGTATGAAGATAGATAGACCAAGAATCAAAATTCAAACGACACAAAAGCATAGAAAATGAATATATAATTCATATCACTAATTTTTTTTTATTGTGAATAAATACCGAATACAACTACGGATACAAATGAAGCAATCACCTTGAAATAAATAAACGGGAAAACCTGAACTAGCTCTACAGATGGATTACAACCCATGAGGGACAGGTCAAGGGGAAAATGACAAAAGAAAGCGCACTTCCTGTAAATTTACTAATCTTCTTCTATGGTATATGACATAGCCGGAATTGCCCAACAAAAAACACCAATCAGTGTTTTGCAAACATCCCATGTGTCAAGGAGGAAAAATCATAATCCTTCGCTGACTGTGTAGTGCTAGATGACACTGGAGCTCCTGCCTGAGGTTTACTCGCGCCCACGGTCGTCATCATTCCGTTAACTGGAGGTGGAACTTGCCCCATACCATAGAAACTGCATAAAAAATGCATTGCCTTTTACACAAGTTGGGGATGAAGTACGATGCAAGACATACAAAGAAATGAAGAGTAGGAACTAACAGTGAAAAACAAGTTTGTATATGAACAAGAGCATTGTGGATAATGTATAAAATCAATATACGTGACTAAAACTAATAAATATAAAAATGTTATAAGACGTTTTCAAAGCAGTTTGTAGATTGGTGTGTGGTTTGATACGAGACCTTCAGTAAACGATGACATAATCCAGGTAAGTTCCATGTTTTGTAGATCTAGTTCATCAAGAATTTTCATTTTGTGACTGAGGAGGGTGGATATTAGCTTTGAAAAATTAGTGGTTGGAAGGGAAACAGAACGCCCCAAAATAGCCTTTTGGAACAAAACTGTACACTCTAATTCGTTATGGCTTATGGGACTAGAGTTTGATTGGAAACTGTTCCGATTAAGGATAGACGTCATATCTGCTTTGGAGCTCTTATCCATCACGGAGGGTGTATTTAAACTATCATTGACCTCGACTCCTAAGCGATGTAAGATTTTATGTGCGTACATAATCCCCCGAGTCAAGGAGTAAGGGGTGTGTATGAGTAGAACGAGACTCTACTCTCGACCCCACAATAAGCGTCAATGTTCTGATTAAAGATCGAGTGTCCCAGTCTTATGTCCGCTATGATAACATCGATGGGTCAATTCCCACATCCGAGGTATTGTCCGCTTTGAAGTTCTCGCGTACCAGAACAGAAACAATTATCCACCGAGGTTAAATCAGAATTCTATGGACCAACATAAGGTAATATTCAAGTAAAATATTCCTACATACAAGTAATCCAAACAGAGATTAATTTGTATTGAACACACAAACTAATAACATACCTGGATGGTGGTGGATATTGTCCAGAGCTCCCAGCAAAATGTGCTGGGGTCATGCTCCTAGTCTGACCCTGATAGAAGGAAACAAGTTAGTTGTTGGACAAAGCTAATAATCATCAATTAACATTTGGCTTACTTCAGTTATTACCTGCACGGGCATAACTCCAGAAATCGGGTAGCCAGTAGCTGGCCAACTTTGCATAGGACCATTGGGTATAGGTTGTTGTATGCCAGCAGGATACCTGGGATCCCCACCAGAAGATTTAGCTGCAGCAGCCATTAGAAGAGATTGTTGCTGTGCAAGCATGGCAAGCTGCTGTTGATGCATAGAAAATGGAGACACCATATTACCCTGCAATATCAAAATGACTGGTCAGGTAAAGGCATTTCAATTACCAAAAAGAAAGCATCTAATGATAGAGTGCAACTAATAAAATTCTTGTCGTAATATTGTCGTGAATATATCTTGCACAAAGAGTATGAGGGGAACAAAACAAATAAGAGTAAAAGAATTCATATATTCGAAAAATATGACTAAGCAAATCAAGTCAAAGAAGTAACTCACAATCTTACACAAACCTACAGAAAGAATTGGCAAGTACCTTCTCAAAGAGGCTCATTATATCATTTTTAACATCTTTCTGTGGCTTTTCTGGAGCTAAGCTTGGCATCATAGAAGGTGAGTCTTTGAAAAGATCCTCAATACCCGTTGCAGATGGCAGACTACTATCAGCTTCTTTTGGCGGACTAGTCTTCTCAGCTGTTGACACCTCTGCAGCAGCTGAAACAGTTATAGCAACTATATTACAACTTAAGTTCTACCAATATAATAATATAAGCAACTTAACATCTTCAAAATCAGTCTAGCAACACTTTCTATTGAATTTTCGGTCATTTTTTAACAAAGACACAAACATACACTGGAAACCTGCCCAGAGATTATCATCAGTAGTTGTACTGGCTGACTCAGAGCCATTTTCTTTGGGGACATCCATAGACAACATGTTGAAAAGGTCTGTAGCATAGTCAACTTTTGGAGGGGTATTTTGAACTGCATCCTTAGCCAGCTTTAAAGTTTCAGCTTGTGGCCGAGGTGCTACTGGTTCCACTTTCTCAACGTGCTGAGGTTTGGTAATAGGAGTTACCTGTTCACAAATGGATTTGTTTGATACCAGTATAAACAATAATAATTTTATTTAAAGAAGGACAAGAAAAAAATCATCCATGGTAATTGCTCTAACAGAATAAATAATCATGTTATTGCAAATTTTCACATGAAGTGCAACTAATTGCAGAACGGTAATAACACGTGAAACTAATGACAGAAGAACAGACATTACAACTGCAATATCAGCAACGAGGGGAAGAAATGAACTAACAAAACAGTAATGAAAAAGAGGGGGCAAAATAGATTACTTGCTCAGGTGCTTTGGGAGGAGCAGGAGCAGGAACACTATTTCTTGTTGCAGGAATTGCATTTGGCGATTGGAATTTCTTCCTTTCCTCAAAAGTATTTTCAGAAACAGCAGTATGACCACTTCTCTCCACGGGCCTCTGCCAATGTGAAGGACTTCTCTCTTCCCGCAATCCAGAAGATGTTTTTGAATCCCCATCTCTTGGAACCCATCTCTTTTCATCATACCTACATGCAATGATTGTAAACATGTCCATAAAACAAGATGCATACACATCAAACAGTACGAAGAGGAAAAATTTAGTAAGGTTCAAGGAGTTTATCATCAGACATACTTTGCACGAATGAAATTCTCAATTCCAACTCTATCATAATTTGGAGGTAATTCTGCTTCCCAGTAGTTATTTGCTTTCTCGTTTCCCATCGCTGTACAGGACCAAAACAAGGAATTCAAATTGACTGAGTTGTTACATAATTAACGCACATCAGCAAAATTAAAAATAATCACAAATTGAAGACCACTAAGATTATCTTACATTGAATGAATGCAACTTGCTCCGGAATCCAAGTGTCCAGGGTTGCAGAACGAACCTGAAAGGAAAGTCATTAAATAAATATATAAGATTGGCATTAGTGATTAAGAAAGTGTTTAGATACTACGAATTTCCAACAGTGACTTGGGATCCATTTTTCAGTTATTCCCACATCAAATTCATTCAGTACTATTACTATATTTTAAATGGAAAAGCAACAGATCAAATTGAAACTTTGTCAACCAAATAAGCTATTTATCAGCCTAGCTCTATTCAGAATAAAAATTAATCTATAATAAACAGTTAAGCATTGCTTGATCCAAAATAAAATAATAATAGTAACAGTCAACTGTGAATTATACAACAATAACAACAGCAAAGTCTTTCCCACTTGGTGGATTGTAATTTTCCAATAAGTATACATTTTTTTAAGAAAATATATTAATTTCCATTACGGAAATAATTACTGATGACACTTTTAGAATCTTTTGTTTGTCATTACTTGCAAGGGTATTAAATAAAAAGTATACACTAAATGCAGTATTTCTCAGAAGAGAAGTGCTAAGAATACACGCTCTAACACACTCCACCTAACACAGTAACACACTATTATCAGTTGAAATTTATTGAAAACTACATAGTCATGAGAGAGTCATTAAATAAGATGTGTGACTCACAATTTTGTGTAATTTGCAATAATTTTTAGCCAATAAAAGAGTGTGTTCGAAAGAATATATAGGAGAGTGTGTTACTAAATTTCTCATTTTGAAAGGAATCACTAATTTGCAACTACACATTGTCGATCACAGAAACATGTTTTATATATATTATGGAATTGAAAGACATTTTTTTCACAAGTCACCCATATATACTGTCTCCCTCTCATAATTTTTTTTTATAGATCTAACTAAAACCTTTTTAGTCTCAGCAGTACACAAGAGAAGTAACAAATCTTAATCACTTACATTTGTAATATTCCTAGTTATACAGACAATCCATACTAAGGAAAATAACATCACCTTTGATATATGTACACCCAAACTTCGATGTATTCCTGAACACTGCATACATATAAAGATGCCAAGGTTTACACTAGCCCATCTTGGACCTCTGCAAAGTAAATTATCATGGAAAGCTTAGTGAACATTGTGAACCATAATAATATTAATAGTATATCTAGAAAATGCATAGAGATAGCCTTCATTTCATGAACCAATTAGTATCCCTATGCTTAATTTACTACAAACATAAAAATCCAGATCGGATCATTCAGCTTCACCAGATACGTACTTAGCTTTGCAGTCAGCACATTCCCTATTCTCTGGTAATTTAAGAAGTCCTTCCAGTATCTGCATATTTAGAGTAAAGAACAAAACAGTGTAAGGAAAAAAGGAAAAATGTGACAAGTTTCAAACACTAACGCATTCAATAAAGACGAAAACCCAAATGAAAGTTCAATGTTGACAAAACATTAAGGATCTCACTAATTACTCATAAACAAACATTACACTTGTGACTGCAAGGAAAAGTTCTCCCCAATTAATTGAACTTTATCTATCTTCACATGGGGGAAAAAACAACTAAGAATTTCTTTTTTTCAACATTTGCTACGCAAATTAGTCTTCTTCTGCAGTTGTCTTTTCCTTTTCCATGATCAATATATAACATGACTTGAATTCACCTCTGCAGTTGTCACGGATTAAATGTTCCTTACAATTATAAATCCACAATTACTAAAAAAAGCCACTAAAAATACCTAAAAAAAGGATGGACCATTTTTTACAATAAGGACAGAGATTTTGAAGAAAAACACATCAGCTAAGCTTCCAATAGCTTCATCATCTTCCCTGTACATGCAAATAGCGCCAAGAAACCACTAAAACTAAAATATACGGAGCTAACCGAGCATCAGAAAAAAGAATCCAAACTACCAAACCACCAAACCACAATATTCCATTGATTAACCCCCAAAAATATCGAAAAACGAAAGATCGATAAACCTGTCAACCATCAGTAACTGAACATCAAAACAAAACATATCAGAACTAACCAACCAAATATTAATTTACTAACTACACCATACACATTCGCATTAAAAAAGCTAATCCAAACTCCTCACATTCAAAGTTTCGCGACACACATCTACTGATTCGAATCTAACAACAAGATACGATTGATGATCCAAGGCAATTAGTGAATGCGGATTGGCAAATCGAAATTGAAATGATAAGAGATAAGGAGAGAGAAACCTTCTTGTGCTTGGCGTTGAGCTCTTTGGTGACGTTAGCCTTACCGTTCATGGTGGAAAGTTCTAGAAGAGAGGGAAACGAATCGGAGCGAGAAAGTTAGCAGAAGAAGCTACGCGAGAGAGGAAAGACGAAGATCCAAGGTCAATTTCGTCTTTTCACGCTCTTTCCTCTCTCCACCTTTCACTCTCTCACTAAACTGAAATCCTCGTCTCCGATTATTAATATGCGACCAAAAAGTGAACAGCCGAAGGAGAAAACGTCGCCACGGAGACGCCCTCCTTGACTTATATTTTTTTATTCATAACAATAATAATAATAATAATTATTATTATTACATCTGCATTTTCCCTATATTTTCTCGCCTTCGTTTTTTTGCCCACACGCTTCAGTAGCTTTGTCACCTACATTCATCTATTTATTTATTATATTTTTATTATGTCATGAATTAGTTATATAATTATTTGCTTTTATGAAAGGGAAATAATAGTGGCCTTGCCATTGCTGAAAAGAACACACAGATATATGGTGTTCAACATTTCCTGTCTTTTTCTTATATATGGAAGTTATGTTGAGATTTTTCTAACTTCACTTATAAGGATAATTACCATTATTCTGGTATCAAAAGAAAAATACCCATTGCTTAATTTTACTATAGTTTTGAAATATGTTCAGGATTTCAACACTTTCCGTGGAAGTTCGAAATGACTCACAATTATTTTGATTTAAACATTCACTAATAATAATAATAATAATAATAATATATTTATTATTTAATTTATTCAATTCTTATAATTTAGTCTATTTAAAAAAATATTATTAAAGAGAGTTTGTCACTGAATGTGTGTGTTTAATTAAAGAGAGATTGATCGCTTATAAATTTCTATCACTCTACTATTATATTATTATTTTATGATGTATTAATTAAAATGTAACGTGAAAATTGATATATAAAACATAAAAGACTAAAATATGATAGTAATATATACGTGGAGTTGAGTTTGCTTGTATCTTTTTACGTGATACAGTGAAATTTATTGTTCTATTTATGTGAACAAGTCTATAGATAGATACTCAACTGTAATATAAATCGAACCAACAAACTAATTTATAAGTTTTACGTAGGTCAGTCGGAAATGTCCTATCCCATTTTTCATAAGACAAATAAAAAAGCAATGAGTCTTTTATTATGCTTTTATTATTATCTTTCAATATCCAAATTACTTTAAGCAATGCGATTAGCAAATTTAATTTATTAAACATAATAATTTTTTTAAATACTTTTTAGTATATTTTTCTTAGTTTTAAATTATTTTTTTAATTATACACAAAGAGAGAATAAACATATATATATATATATATATATATATATATTATTATTATTTTACATTTCAAAATTCTTAATAGAATTGGTGAAAAAAAATTAGGAGATCATAAGAATATTTATAATTAATCTTTACTCACCTAAAAAATAATTTTGATTCAGACTCTCCTCTCACTTAATCAACTCTAGATCAAACAATACTAAGGGATGAAGAATCAAGTTTTGTCTAGTCAAAACTACATCTCGTCCAACAAACCTTGAAGATAGAGAACATAGGAAAAAATGTTGTAAGTCTCACCTATCTAAAGTTATATCTCACCCAACCAACCCTGAAATCCAGAAAGCACGGAAAAAATGCTACCAAGTATTGTCTAACTAGCTCAAGATCTGGATCACCAAGTCACTTACGTATTGTTTTTCTATTGATTCAAAATCTCAAATATAAAGAAGACTTTTTTTTTTTATATTAGAATCTAGAAAAAAAAAATTATGATACTCCTTCATTATTGAAGAACTTTCTCCATAAATTTTATTTTCATTACTTCAAGTTTTGCTTCTATGTTATTAAACATCATGAAAGACCAACTTCTCTTTTGTTCAGACTAAATATAATAATCAAACTCTCTTGTATCTTTTTTATTATATTTATATGTCATGATTAATCATAAATTAGTTGTATTTCTAAGAAACTGAAAAATTCTTATAAATTTATTATCTTAAATAAAATAATTCATAAATTATTTATTTTGGAACATAACTAGTTGTTCATCATTTTATATCTTGAACTTAATTCAAATTTTTCCTATTAAATATAATTATTCACGATAATGATGGATGACAACAAAGAAGATGGAAAAATTATTTAATGATTTAAAAATATTAGTTGTTTATAATAATTTTTATTAAAAATGATAAATTATTTAAAAAATATGATATCACGTAATAAAATTATATTTTAGATTTTGAAAATAAAAAACAACTTTTATCTTCTTCTTATTATTAAAAATAATATTAAAAGGTGGTAAATTTGTTGTTAGATATTTATATACATGCATCTCAATAATATATATTATTGATACATGCATCTCAGATATTTTATTAAGACTATTTTTTTATTGCACCAACATAATAACAGCGAACCCATTTTTTGTTGTCGCAGGAGCAGAAAATGCTGAAGAAAAAAACCCACTAATATTTTAGTTAGATATTTTAATAAATAATTTCTATTAAAAGTACTCTAATAAAGTATGTTTACGATGTAATAAATAATTGATTTTGATTCTGACCCTTGGCAGTGGAACAGAAGATGCTTTTTTTAGGCCATTTCGTTTAGCAGTCACTGTAAATGCACTTTGATGTTGTTTTCAGGTCACATAAAGTTTAACTACATATTATATAATGCTATTAATGTTTTAATTAAGAATTTAATTGATAACTAACATTGGTGGTGCTGTTCGTGGTTTTTAATTTTGTAATTTAGAATTTTAATGATGGTACTATTACTCTATGTATTAAAAAATTAAGTTGGAAAGTGAGAATCTACATTGTGTTAAGTGATGAAAATATTAACATTTTTATTTATTTTTGTTATTTTAATTCATGACAAAAAAAATAAATTAAATTTTAATTACATTAATTTATACTAAAAAGTTAAAATATTACACTCAAATAATACTTTTTCATTTGAACAAATAAATAATAAATTAAAAAATATATATATATATATATATATATATATATTAAATATTAATATTCATGATTGCTTATATAATACATATATCCAAATACTTATATACTGACTATATTTTTATAAACAAAAATGTACTAAAAGTTAAAAGAATGTAGAAAAATATAGATGATAAACTCAATACTCCATCTGAATTAAAAAATAAGAAAAAATATAGTTAGTTTTACACTAATTAAAAAAGTAAGCTAACAATCATCAAGTTTTTAGAATCTTAATCTAAAAATCAATTATGTCTTAAATTTTCTTCATTAAATTTGATATCAAACATAAAAAAAGCTTATAGAAATATAATTAAATTAAATTAATAGTATTTTAAAAATGATATTATAAAATAAGATTAAATTATTCAATTTTATTTATATTTAAATATATCAGGTAAGATAATTATATATATATATATATATATATATATATATATATATATATATTTAAAATTAGACTAACATATTCAAGCTGTTAAACTAATGGTTATTAAATTATATAAAATCTTCAATTTTTAGGTTACGACTCTCTTCATTCAATTATACAGGTAAAGTGTAAAGTTAAAGAGAAACAAATGAATAATAATAATTTTCTTTGTTCAATAATAAAAAATGACAAAAAAAAATCACTTTTTACTTTTTACTATAATAAACATATATATTTTTCTTTAATATATGAGTGAAAAGTAAGATATTATTTTACAAAATTATTATTTTATTAATAAATATTCAAACAACTTAAAAATAATTATATAAATAATTTTATAATTGTAAAAATATTAAATTTTAATTAAATAATAATGTTTATTATTTTCATATTACTGAACATACATATTATTTTATTTTATTTATTTATTTTCTTTTCTGATAAGTTTTTTCTTTAGCAATCCGAGGCTAAGAATATCAGAAACAAAACTATAAAGGCGAAGAAAGAAAGATTTATTTCTTTACCGCTATGATTAAAATGAATTAGCCAAATGATTAGATTGAGGAATGAAGTAAACCAATTATAATAACTTGATTAGCAATAACTATGATGAAAGCAATGAAGTAGTGGCATATAGTGAAATGATTAAGAACACGCCAACGACAACAGAACCGAATAACTTAGACTTTTAATATCATAACACTTCAAAGATACCTTAATTAACGTGTTATTAAGTAATTTAAATATTAATTAAGCTTCTTTTAGGAAAATATTTATACATATTTGATTTTCCCTTTTCAATCAATATTGAATTTAAAATTAGATTCATGTTTAAAAGAAAAAAAACTTTTTGACAATTTTAATGTTATATCGAATTACATTTGAAATGTGAAAGTTATAATTATTAACTTCTAAATTCACATGAAAAAATTGTGAAAAATTACATCTCAACAAAAGGAACCCAAACATGTTATTATTTTAAAATTATTTTTGTAAATGTTTTTAGCAACACATACTAAAAGTATTTGTTAAAAAATGTTAATAATATAATCTCAAACATAGTATACTTTAAATTTTAATATGTTTGGTGATGAGTTATAAGCTTATTTTGTATGTTGCTGAGTACTTTTCAAGTTAAATATACAAGTGAAATAAAAACTAAGTCAATAATTTAGTTTAAATGTCACTCTTCTCCTTCAATTTAGTTACTATATTTTTTTTAAGTCAACTATCCTAAAAACATGTTTTTGTAACTTCAAGAGACATAGTTGCATTATCTTAACACACTTTTACGTTCATTAAATACACTTAATCAAATTATTCACTTTAATATTATATTCTTAATGTCTTTTCAACTACTTAGTATTTTATCTTACTCTTATTTAATTACTATAATCTTTTATTAGTTACAGAATTTAAATGCAAGTGAGATTTAATTTTTGAAATTCGTTAGTGGCCATTGGTTTTTGAATTTATGGGCACCAATAATTTAGGGTATAGAATAAAAATGCACATTAAATTTAAGTAATCTAATAATCTATGATAGTTGATCGAAAATTTTAGTGGCCAATACGTTTTCAATAGTTTTATAAAATCCTACTGGATACTTTTAGATTAATTTATTTGATTTATATGTATAACTATTTAAAGTATTTGGTTCACATAAATAATGATAAAGGTCCAAAGAGTTTAAATGTTTTAAGAATTTATATGTTCAGACTTATTATGATATTAGTCATTGTTTCAAATAATAAATAATTCGTAGGAATATCACGCTAAAAAAAATGTTACTTAATTTTTATGAAAGTTGTCTAAGTTTTTATTAAACTTTACAAAATAATTTAAATTAAGACATCAAATAATCCCTACCTAAATTATATATTGTTAGAAAAAAATACATTTAAATTCATAAACACAAAAACTTCCCTTAAATCTATTAAATTTTAAAGTGAAAAACTAATTAAAATATTTAATTGAAAATTTGATGAAAGGATATTGTTATTGTATATAATTTCTTGGAATTTGTCAAAATTTTATATTTTTTAAGTTAAATTATTGATTTATACCTAGTATTGGAAATAATTATAATTAAGGTTCTAATCATAAAATATTATTTTCATGTGTAAACAGAATGTTTGCTCCTTTTCTTAATTTTTCATAAAATAGTTATTTAATTAGTTTGTTTTCAAATTTATGACCTAAAATTAATTTCTCATTATAAGAAATATAATTTTAGCGACAAAATTTTAATGACAAATATTGTCACTATATATTATTCATAACAATTTTTTAATTTATCATAAATACTATTATATTAGTGACTAAATTAAAAATTGTCACTATAATCTTGTTAAAAGTGACAATAACAACATATTTGTCATAATATATATTATTTGTAACAAATTTTTAATTTAACACAATTATATTAGTAATTAAATTAAAAATTATCACCGTAATCTTATTAAAACTAAAAATAATAATATATTTGTCACAAATATTATTGATAGATTAATAATTAAATTAAAAATTATCAGTGTAATTCATATATATATATATTAATTATTATTTTAAAATGATAATAAATTAAAAATTATTATTATAATCTCATTAAAAATATATAAAACGTATATCATAAATAATTAGTTATAAAATCAATTATTTAAATAAATAAAGTAAAAATGTTGATGTTATTATTTGAAACTTGACAATTATAAAACTTAAAACTAATTACCAATATCAAAGTATACATGATATTGAGTTTAATTTAGTTTTATATATTTAATAAATCATATTATTTGTAATTCTTAAATTCAAAATTTTTTTAAATAAATAAGAAAAAAATATTTTACCTTATTTTATATTTAATTAAATTAACAAATTTAATATTAAAATTGAAAAAGTTATTTAAATAATATAAAAATAACAACATTTTGATTCAACTTTTAACCATATTTTTAGGGACAAAATTAATTATTAATAATATTATTCATTATTATTATTAAGTTAACTTATTTTTATTTCTAATGAATAAATAAGATGAAATATAATAATATTTTAAATTAATTGGAATTATTTGAATTTTGTATTTAATAAAAACATATTATTTAATTTGATCCAATTATTTTTAATTTTTATTGAATTATGTTATTTTTAAATAATTGGTTAAGAGGTGCTACTAAAGGTTTTTATTATTTTTTTCAAAGAATAATTAAGTAAAAAAATTAATGATGACCTTTTAGATAATAATTTTTTATAATAGGTAAACTTAATTAGAATAGGAATAATTTTTTTTCTAATAATCTATAAAGTAGATATATGATGAGCGTTTGGCAAGTGCACCAATCGTTAACGTAGTAATAAAATATCATCCTCTGGGATTGAATTTGTTGAATACTAGATTCCTAATGTACGTAAGTTTGAGCAATTGAAAATTTGGATAAAATAGCAAACATAGAATTATAATAAGAACTTTAGTCAAAATAAGATCTGTTAGAGAATTGATTTCATACCCTTTTCTATATAATTCCAGTCCTTTCAATTGATGCAAGAAATGTAATTATCCACTTGAGTTTACCCAGAGTTGTTTTACCCCTAATCCCTTAGTAGGCAAAACTATTCATTGAATCCGAACCCCTAATCCCTTAGGTCAGTTACGCCATTCAATAGAATCATGAAAAAACAATAATTTTCTCTATTGCAAACTAATTAGATATATGCCCAATTTCCCAATTGTGACAAACCCTAACCTGTTATATTTAGGATCGCGAACAACCTCCAATCTCCCAATTGTGAAACTGCTCGTGGAATGAACTTGAAAATTATAAATAGAACACTGAGATAAAGAACATTAACTAAACATCAATTGTCAAGAACAAGAAAATATAATTCAGAGTACTACATCAATCCTCTAACAACAGGAAAATCAGTTCTGCATAATGTAAAAAATTGCTAAAAGATAATAACTAGAACGTAAAAGATTCTTGAATGGTTCTCCTCCCCTTTTTCAGTTTCGTTCCACCTTCTTTATAGGGTGTCCCACGTTTTTTCTCCATTTGTTGAGGTAGTTACCACTTCTCATAAGCTGTCTTGAATTTCCACATGTTGTGGAAAAATCCACGACCCACCTGTGGAACTCTCGACTTCAAATGTGCCTTCGAACCACAAATCCACGAGGTTGTGGAAACATCCACAACTCACCTGTGGAGCTCTCGATCCTGATCTTTGCATTCTGGTACCAAATCCACAGGTTGTGGAACGTTTCACAAGGTACCTGTGGAACTTGCTGATATGAAATATTTCTATCTTGACACCAACTCCCTCCAAACTATGAATTTAAACCTCCAAACACCTATTTACAAGAACAATGCACAAACCACATGTATGATCCAAAACAACGATAATGCATGATGAAATCGTTCCCATAATGCAACAACATATGAAATTAACCTAAATTAATGCATGAATGTAATGATATTTTATCCACTCATCAAATTCTCCCAAGCTTAGACTTTTGCTTGTCCTCAAGCAAAGAGAATTTAATAAAAACAGGACGATAATGCAAACAAAATGATGAGTGTTTTTGATTGGGAATATATCGTCTTGTCTCAAATCCAAATTCAATCAATGATATTCCAAAAGTATTTATTCCACAATTATTGGGTCCCTTGAGGAAAGGATGTAAGGCACAAGACATCAAGGAAGACACTCTTTGAGCTTTATTTTCTCTTTACAAAACTTTTTCTTAGGTTCTGGCCTAGAAGACAATTACCTGCCAACTAAACATGGATCTTCCACTCGAGATGCTTTGCACTTGCCACACCGGTCTCAAAGGAGTGCCTCTTTCCCCAGTAACTCACACGGTCTCAAAGGGGTGTCATTTCACTTATTATGCTCTTTTTTTTTTTTACATTATTGTGAACTAACAGACAATTCTCCAGTAACCAAATGCAGTGAGTGTCACCATAGAAACCTAAAAAGTTTAAAAACTTTCATATCCATTTTACTCTATGACTCAAAAAATTTCTTCCTTAAGTGTCATAGTGTCCAGACTTCCTATGTAGTGTGTGAAGTTTCCCAACAAATAATCATGACAGATAACCATAGTATGCTTCATAAAATATCACTGAACAAACTTAAGACTTGAGTTAAGATAATGAATTCCCAATTCAATGTATATGTTATGCAAATGTAACAACAGAATGATATGCAATTGACCCTCCCAAGCTTAAATGTTTATGTTGTCCCCAACATAAGCAAAATAACTAAGACTAGAAGGGATAGAACTCACAAAATTATGGTTGGTTGGAGCGTAGGAATTCCATCACCTCTTGGAGCAATTGTTTCATGCGTTGTTGATGAAGAAGTTGGGAATCCCAAAACTGCACGAATTCGGTATAATGGCGTTGGTGTTGAGTGCGGAGATCAGCAAGTGATTGAGTGATGCGAGTAACCACGTCAGCATGAGAATCAAGGGAAACAGAAGGAAGTGTCGAGGGTGGATTAGGGCGAGGATGAAAGGTATTGTGGGAATTCAAATCTAAAAATGTCCACCTTGCTAGACCACGCACAGTAGTAAATTTTGGATTAGGAAGTGGTTGTGGTGACATGCCTTCAACATAATTCATTACTAAACAATAGTGACCATCTCGTCTGACCAACATTTCGTTATTTATCAGCATCTCTAAATCAATGCGAGATGTCCTGACTATTGCCTTATCATCTTCCAAAGGAATGTTGAGATGTAATGCGATTGGAGTTATCAATCCACCAATTGCTATTTGTCCTGATGAAGCTTTTCCTATCTTAGTGAATTGACGAGCTAACCATGAACCTGAATCCAGTTGAACATCGTTGACCATCCCCCATAAGAATAATAATTCTGATTTCCTAACAGCAGTAGTACTATCACCCCGAGCAAATAAAGTATGAGCTAACAATCGGTGAGCATACCGAAAACAGGGATGATGAATATGAGACTCTTTAGACTCTGAGGAAACAAAGTTAGCGGAGGTAGATAATTGGTGCCAAAAGGAATGGTCATTAAAAGCACGAGGATATCTTCTCTCCCCTCCACTAGGAAACCCAAAAATAGCATTCAACTCAGTTAAATCAAGAGTATAATTGGTGTTATGCAATCTAAACTTAATCAACCCCTCTGTGCAATTTTTTCCTTGCAAAATTTCTGCATTCACTGAGCTAAGAAATTCTATAGTGATTCTCTCATAAGCTGGGTTGTTCAAGTTGACGAAAGAGTTCCAACCAACATTCCCCAACATCCAATTGATCTCTTCTAACATGCCCAATGTGTTCAAAGAAGTGACATCAAAATAGCGCGTCGGAAGAATAGTTCTACGAATCAAGGAAGCATACCTCTGTTTTTGCTCTTCATTCTCGCAACTAATGCCATGGACATTTTCATCAGAGGGAAAAGAAGACTGCGACCGTTTGCTAGTCGAAGTCCCTAATATCGGAGATGGTTCTGCAGGAACAGAGACCGGAGTTGCTCGTTGTCGAGATGGCATGGGGTTTGCATTGTTGGTGCCGGTGTGGATCTTACGATGGCCTGAGTAGCGGCTCTTTATCCGAGTTGACATGGTGAAGTGACGAAGTGGATGAGGAGTATGGAACAAGGTGGGTGTGCCGCACTAAGGAGAAGGAAAGAAACCACCAACGTGAAATATGTCTTAGGGTTCTGTTCTTCTAAAATAAATATTTTTTTTTCATTTTTTTTAATTTAATTTTTATTTATTTTATTTTATTTTATTTTTCAATCAGAATGATTGTTACATGGTGATGTTAATGAAACACATGCCTTATATTTTTCAAACTCACCACCAACATACCTTTTCAATCTTTGACCATTTACTCTAAAACTTTTTTCTAAATTGAGAGTTGAAATTTCAAGCTGTACCAAATGGGAATACTTGCTTAATCACAAAGGGACCGGACCATCTAGATTTTAATTTACCTGGAAAAAGTTTGAGCCTAGAATTGTATAACAACACCTGTTGTCCTGGAGTAAACTCTTTATTCACAATCCTTTTATCATGCCATTTTTTTGTTCTTTCTTTATAAATGCTAGCATTTTGATAGGCTTGCGATCTAAATTCCTCCAATTCATCCAATTGCAATAATCTCTTTTCACCTGCATTCTTTAAATTGAAATTCAATAATTTAATAGCCCAAAATACTTTATGCTCTAACTCTACCGGTAAATGACATGATTTCCCATATACCAATTGATATGGAGACATTCCAATCGGTGTTTTAAAAGCTGTACGGTAAGCCCAAAGTACATCATCTAATTTCTTAGACCAATCTTTCCTAGATGAACTCACAACTTTCTCTAAAATTCTCTTCAATTCTCTATTGGAAATTTCAACTTGTCCACTAGTTTGTGGGTGGTAAGGGGTTGCTATCTTATGGTTGACACCATATTTTCCTAGAAGTGATGCGAATTTCTTATTATGAAAATGTGAACCTCCATCACTAATGATTGCTCTGGGCACCCCAAATCTAGAAAATATGTGTTTCTTAACGAAAGAAATCACCACTTTGGCATCATTTGATGGAAATGCCCTAGCCTCGACCCACTTAGAAACATAATCCACTTGCAACTAAAATGTATTGGTTTGAAAAAGACGAAGGAAATGGCCCCATAAAATCAATACCCCACACATCAAAAATTTCAACTTCCAAAATAGTATTTAAAGGCATCTCATCTCTCTGTGAAATATTTCCTACCCTTTGACATTTATCACACTTTTCAATAAAACTACGGGCATCCTTAAAAAGAGTAGGCCGAGTAAAATCCACTTTGTAAAATTTTAGAAGTTGTTTTCGAACACTAAAATGCCCCCATAATCTGATACATGACAATGCCAAAGGATACTTTCAAATTCATTTTCAAGAACACATCTCCTAATGATACCATCACCACATCTCTTAAACAGCAAGGGATCATCCCAAAAATAAAATTTAACATCATGCAAAAATTTGTTTCTCTGCTGAAAGGTTAAGTCGTATGGGATTATACATGCTACTTTAAAATTAGCAAAGTCTGCAAACCATGGCAAAGAAGTAATGGCTAGCAGTTTCTCATCTGGAAACTCCTCTGAAATAGGTTGTACATCCCGATCATCCTTCATTCTGGAAAGGTGGTCAGCTATCAAATTTTGCTTCCCTTGCTTATCTCGGATTTCTAAATCAAATTCTTGTAATAAGAGAATCCAACGGATTAATCGTGGCTTGGCATCTCGCTTAGCAAACAAATATCTCAAAGCAGCGTGATCAGTGTAAACAATAACCTTAGACCCAATAAGATAGGATCTAAATTTATCACAAACAAACACTATAGCAAACAATTCTTTTTCAGTCGTGGCATAATTCTTTTGAGCTTCATTCAACACACGACTGGCATAATAAATGACATGAAACACTTTTTCTTTTCTTTGTCCCAATACAGCACCCATAGCATAATCACTAGCATCACACATAAGCTCAAATGGTAAAGACCAGTTAGGTGCAACAATTATAGGAGCAGAGACAAGTTGTTTCTTTAAGGTTATGAATGCTTGCAAACATGCCTCATCAAACTCAAAAGATGCTTCTTTTTCTAGAAGATTAGTCATAGGCTTTACTATTTCAGAAAAATCTTTGATGAACCGCCTATAAAAACCGGCATGACCTAAAAAACTTCTTACCCCTTTTACATTCACAGGGGGAGGTAATTGTTCAATTATTTCCAATTTTGCTCTATCCACCTCTATACCTTTAGTAGAAATTTTATGACCAAGAACAATACCTTCTTTCACCATAAATTGACACTTTTCCCAATTTAACACTAAATTAGTTTCTTGACATCTTTTTAACACTAAAGTCAAGTTAGATAAACAAGAATCAAATGAAGAGCCAAACATAGAAAAATCGTCCATGAAGATCTCAATGCAATTTTCAATTAAATCAGAGAAAATGGAAAACATACACCTTTGAAATGTTGCTGGTGCATTGCAGAGACCGAAAGGCATCCTCCTGTAAGCAAAAACTCCATAGGGACATGTAAACGCTGTCTTTTCTTGATCTTTAGGAGCCACTACTATTTGATTGTAACCAGAATAACCATCTAGAAAACAATAATATTCTTGCCCAGCCAATTTCTCAAGCATTTGATCTATAAACGGGAGTGGAAAATGGTCCTTTCTTGTGGCTTGATTCAATCTTCTGTAGTC